TTGACAACAACTGACTTCACAAATTCTGATACCTTCAGCCCTTTCTACTTCAATCTCTTGCTACCCTCTACCCCTGTACTATCCCCTGCTCCGCTGTTTTCTCTAACCTACTGATCATCCCTCCTCCCTTCTGCCATCCAATACCCTCGCTTCCTTCCCTACCCTGCAGCGCTGTATAGCCCTTGTGGCTTAGAGCTTCTTTTTGATTATAATAATAATCTGCTTCTGCTTTTAATAATATGAGATGATCCGTTTACAAGTCTTCTCACCTGACCTTAATGGAGCCCTCTGTCACTTGGAAGATATACAGAGGTAATTCTAGCCTGCTACCGAATAGCATAGGTATGTTGGTAGTTCTTGCTTGACGTCAGGTTAGGAGATACGGAGGTAGTTAAAGTTTGGCATCCGTCTAGGAAAGGTATGTGGGAGATTAAAGCATGGCATCCACCTAGGAGAAATGGGGAGGCAGTTCCGACTTAGAGATCGCCTTGGAGAGGCGATTTTGATTGCCCTAGAGAAGTACTAAGATCGTTCAAGCTTTGTGGCCTCCAGAGAGAGGTACGAGAAAACTTCATGCTTGATGCTCGCCAGTGAGACGAACCAGGGGTAATTCCAATTTGGTGATTGCCTAGGAGAGGTACGAATCAAAGTCAGCCTATTGACCGTCTGACAGGTGGGGGAGTAGTTATGAAGCAGTGATTGCCTAGGAGAGATGTGGGACTAGTTACTAACAGGTGATTGCCTAGGAGAGATGTGGGACTAATTACTAACAGGTGATCGCCTAGGAGATGTACGGTAGTAATTACAAACAAGTATTCGCCTAGGAGAGGTGTAGGAGTAGTTACAAACAGGTGATCGCTTAGGTGAGGTATGGGAGTAATTAAAAACAGGTGATCGCCTAGGAGAGGTATGGTTGTAGCTTTTCCGTATTAATCTACTAGGACATATACATGGATAGTTCAACTAGCTGATCACCTTGGAGACGTAATTGCTTAAGAAAGGCACAAATTGATGGGTTCCAATTTAATGATCGCTAAACACAAGTACGGGGGTGCATGAAAGGAGGGTTTCATTCTGGTCATGCCAGAAGAGATAATTTTTCGGAGAAGCGGAACCATGGAGGTGTAATTTGGTAATAAATACGGTGCCAGGCAACCTTAGGTAACGGATGCTTACCTCTTTCCTACTCTCATAGTCACACCTACAAAAATCGTTTACACATACCCCGTTTCCTAGAGAGGTTGGTGTTCCCAGGAAGGTTGGTGTTCCCAGGGTGGTTGGTGTTTTCAGGAAGGTTGGTGTTCTGAGGATGTTTGTTCTCAGGATGGTTGGTGTCCCAGGATGGTTGGTGTTCCCAGGAAAGTTGGTGTTCTCAGGATGTTTGTTCTCATAATGATTAGTGTTTCCAGGATGGTTCGTGTTCCCAGGAAGGTTGGTGTTCCCAGTATGGTTGGTGTTCCCAGTATGGTTGGTGTTCCCAGGATGGTTGGTGTTTCCAGGATGGTTGGTGTTCCCAGGATGGTTGGTGTTCCCAGGAAGGCTGGCGTTCTCAGGATGTTTGTTCTCAGGATGGTTGGTGTTCCCAGGATGGTTGGTGTTTTGAGGATGGTTGGTGTTCCGAGGATGGTTGGTGCTCCCAGGATGATTGGTGTTCCCAGGATGGTTGTTCTTCCCAGGATCGTTGTTCTTCCTAGGATGGTTGGTGTTCCCAGGATGGTTGGTGTTCCCAGGATGGATGGTGTTCCCAGGATTGTTGGTGTTCCCAGGATGGTTAGTGTTCCCAGGAAGGTTGGTGTTCCCAGGATTGGAAATATAAATACACATGCAGTATAATGTGATCCTTTATTGACAACGTTTCACCCACACAGTGGGCTTTTTCAAGTCACACACAGATCTGTGTGTGACTTGAAAAAGCCCACTGTGTGGGTGAAACGTTGTCAATAAAGGATCACATTATACTGCATATGTGTTTATATTTCCATTGTGTCGGTATTTTATACCATTTATTTCCATCGTTCCCAGGATTGTTGGTGTTCCCAGGAAGGTTGGTTTTCCAGGAAGGCTGGCCTTCCCAGGCTGGTTGGTGCTCATAGGATGGTTGTTCTTCCTAGGATGATTGGTGTTCCCAGGATGGTTGGTGTTCCCAGGATGGTTGTTCTTCCTAGGATGGTTGATGTTCCCAGTATGATTAGTGTTTCCAGGATGGTTGTCAGGATGGTTGTTCTTAGGATGGTTGGCATCCCTAGGATAGTTGTTCTTCCTAGGATGAGTGTTCCCAGGATGATTGGTGTTCCTAGGATGGTTGATGTTCCCTGGAAGGTTAGTGTTCTTAGGATAGTTGGTGTTCCCAGTATGGTTGGTGTTCCCAGGAAGGTTGGTTTTCCCAGGAGGGTTTGTGTTCCTGGGAAGGTTGATATTTCCTGGTTGTTTGATGTTTCCTGGTTTAGAAGGGAGGTTCCGGAGATTTATCTCGGAGGTCGAATTAAGAGGTTAGTCAAGAGGTGGTACGTAACTCTCTGTCATCCATCCAACTACTCTCCACCGTCCAACCCCCTTAACCCCCAACCTTGCCCTATCATCCCATCTCTGTCACCCATCCAGTTAATTACAATCACCACCTGCACCATCACCTCACTAATCATCTCCCTCCATCTCCATGATCATTGCCGATAACATCACTTCCTTTGTCCCTACGACCACTATCGCCTTATATCTGAAACCTATCACCACTTCCACGACCAACATCGCCATAATTACCCCATCATCATCTCCACCGTCACCACCACTGATACTGCTACCTTCATCACCATAGTGAAATGATGAATATTGCACATTTTTCATATTTGTCTTCTGTTTTTTAACGAGAAGGTACGCACATGGTTATCGTATCATATATTATGTATTTTATATATTATGTATCTTTTTTTTATATATTGTGTATTAATTACACACACACACACACACACACACACACACAATATATATATATATATATATATATATATATATATATATATATATATATATATATATATATGTGTGTGTGTGTGTGTGTGTGTGTGTGTGTGTGTCGTGCCTAATAGGTAAAACTGGTCAATTAGCAAGAACTCATTTAAAATTAAGTTCTTTCTGAAATTTTCTCTTATACGTAAAAAATTTTAATTTTGCACCAAAAGAATCTTAGAAAACTTACCTAACCTTATTATAACAAGAGCAATTTATTTTAGCCTAACAAAACTAAATATATTTCAAATACGTTTACAATAATTTAGTACTAAACAAACACAATGAAATATATTTTTTCCGTTAGGTTCAGAATGATTTTGGCGAAATTATTGCATACACAAATTTTCACTTGTCCTATATGGCAAGATGAACGTTGCTATTTAAGCCAAGATGGCAAGTTCTGCCTATTCGGCACGACATATATATATATATATATATATATATATATATATATATATATATAATATATATATATATATATATATATATATATATATATATATATGTGTGTGTGTGTGTGTGTGTGTGTGTATGCAAAACAACCACTCTGAAAAAGCTTAGCCCATTCCATAAACTTTACTGTTGAGTTTGGAGAAAACAACTCATTGCCTTTTCTAGATGTTTTAATTATTAAGGGTAATGAATTAAAATTTAAAATTTACAGAAAACCTACAAATAACTGTTCCTATGTACACTATTATTCTTCACATCAAGATAGAGTTAAACTGTCTGTTTTCTCATCAATGTTTTTGATGAGAAAATATCCAAAATTTATGAAATAGCTAATGATTTGAAATACCCAAGAAAAGTAATTGATAAATCTTTTAAAATTGCTAGAAATACTTTTTACAATCCATAAAGGGACAACCAGCCTTATTCAACTAAAAATATGTTGGTTCTCCCTTACCATGAAAACTTGGTTGATATGCCTTCTTTTCTTAAGACTTTTAATATCAAAGTTGTATTTAAAAAAAACTCATTAAGTAAAAAACTTTTGATAAAGAATTCCCCCCAAAATGCTGACGGATGGGTTTATAAGATTCCTTGTAAAATTTGCGATAAAGTTTATTACAGTCAAACTGGTAAAAGTCTCGAACTAAGATTAAAACAACATAAATATAGCATAGAACTGGACAAGATTCCAATGCTCTATTTATTCATGTGAGAGATTTTAACCATCCAATTGATTTTCAAAAAGTTGAGAAACTAGTATCAAGCAAGTCCATGGTCGACAGGAATATAATTGAATCTTGTTTCATAAAAAGCAATTTTGACAATAATATGAATATTTCCTTTGGTTTATATAAATTAGATCCATTTATAATTAATAGAATTCAGGAAGAATTTACTAATTAATACATTGGACAAATAATAAACTTTAAAATTCTTAATTCTTGGGTAGAATAGTTTTTGGTGGGTTATGTGAAGGACCTGTCTAGTTGGGCCAGCGGGCCTGCTGCAGTGTTCCCTTTCGTATGAGTCGCGCGTCAGGTGTTGCTTTGTTGTGGGATGTGATAGTGAGGTGTGATCTAGACCCTTTATATGCCTTCCTTTGAGGCATTGCTTTTATTGTTCCTTGATAATGTGAGTAGTCACGAAAGCGCTTGGAATTTCTCTATTCTTTCACAATGGTTGTTTTGCATATTCTGAAATCACCTGTTTACTGTGATCTTGTTGCATATATATATATATATATATATAATATATATATATATATATATATATAATATATATATATATATATATATATATATATATATATATATATATTATAACCTAATAGACGTTGAGGATAAAGACCTTATGGGGACTGAGGAGGATCAGAGTGGAGTCAGTGGAGGATGAAGGTCTCAGTCTTCCTTATAATTTATAGGAGCACCTTGGTAGACGCACCACCAAGGCGACCCTCTGTTACGAGGGGAGGTGTGACAGGTCCCATTCATATCTTTAATTTATGTTAGTATCTCAAAACGCACGTCTGTTTTTGCCAACAGGTTCACTCCAGAGACATGATCAATACTGTATAACGTTTACAACAGTTGTGAGATTACATATCAAAAGAAGGAACTTGCGGCTTCACTGATATTTGCTTCACCGTAAACAAGACATGAAGACAACTTATGGCGAGGGATTTATCAATTTCAAGCATTTTTATCTTTTACTCAATTTTTTTTATCAACACAGTTTTACAAATCAACAATGTTTTGCGCTCGGGGGACGGAGGATCGAGCCTCCACCACGTCTTGCGCTGAATGACCCATGTGGATTTAGCGCTTACCATTATTAAATGAAAATTACAAAATACATATTTTTAAAATATCACATTCAACATAATGTTACAAAACCATGCTACACATACATATTTAATCAATACATATATTAAGATATTTTATAATATCTTATCATCAACACATATTGCATTCATTGTTGCATAACGAAAAGCGATCAATACTTATATTGCACATTTATATACATAAATATAACAAATAAATGCAAAATAAAATTAATTACAATTAATTTCACATAAATATAAGTAAAAAATTAATAACAGCTGTAGTATTATTAGTAACACAAATAGAAACAGCAACAGCAGCAGCAGGAGTAGTAGTAGTAGTAGTAATAGTAGTTGTAGTAGCAGTAGTAATAGTTGCAGTAGTTATAGTAGTAGTAATGGTGGTGGTGGTAAAATATCAGCGAGTTTTAAAATTTCATGAACATTTTATCTCTATGAATCAAATGTGATATTATAGTCAGAAATTTACAGGGTGTCAGGATGTATATAGGCCTCGTTGCAATAAAGTTCTGTCTCTTGGAGCCTTAATATACATTTAAAAACTTGGAATATTTTGCTGGAGCGCAGTAAAAAATAGCATTATCTGTAGGAAAACATAAGAACATTTAGTGGCAAATGTTGTTTTTAAACTAATCTCTAATATTTTTAGTAACATGTAACAGATTTTACCCGAGGTATCGATAGAAAAGCTCTTTGTCATCATACTCCGTGATTCTTTCTAAGCTTAATTATAGGGATCAATGAAGCTTAGCTGCTCCAACAGCTATTCTTTCCAATTTTGATGAAGTCTATTTCCAAGGGTTGAATACATGTCTTGGTGCTTCTCGTTCGTCCCACATCGAGAATCAACTGAGCGCGCTAGTTGTGCTCGCTCTCGTCTCAGAAAGGGATACTCTCAATCTACTCTTTACGACTTTTTGACTAAAAGTGATTTATTACACCATATATATCTTTCTCTGATATCTCATAAGTTTATTTATCCCATAGTTTTATAAGAGTTTGGCGAGTTTTGTGAATATATTAGCAATAACGATAATGATGAAAATTAAAAACAATAATATTAATAATAATAATAATAATAATAATAATAATAAGATAACCGTTGATAGATGGAATGTAATAAATAATGAAAATATTATGAAAGGTCTTCACTAAAAATAATAATAATATTTATTATTATTATTATTATTATTATTATTATTATTATTATTATTATTATTATTATGTTTCGATTAGGTTTCATAAGAGAATATCTAAGATCGGGATAAGTATCAAAATTAGTCTTGCGTGAGTAACGAACATTTGAAAAACAGAATTCATTATGAAGCAGTGTGAGGGAGGAGGTGAGGTAAGGACTGGGGAGACGCTGGGTTGGGTTGAGCTAGTCTGAGAGCGTGGCAGTATAGTGGGATTTGTCAGTTCAGTGCAAATTGAAATGTTGGGTGAAGGGATGTGCAAAAGCAACCATTAGGAGGTGGGAGGGGTGATCTTTCATTTATAAAGATTTAAATTAATTGTAATAAGAAGCAATTGTTATATGCAGTAGTTGAGACAATATGATAAATTATTGAAGTTTTATAATGGATGCAAAATGGATTCGAGATATTGAGAAAAAAGATGAAGGTAATGTAAAGTAAATAATGAAAAAGTAAAGAAATTTTTTTATAACTATTTCTGAGTAAAACGTGTTATAAACAGAAATAAAACTGTGACTGGGGGCTTATTGTTTGGTTAGTGTAATCCTTAGCTCAAAACTACTGGGGTCCAAGATCGATACACCCGGCACAGGTGAGACGCTAGATATGCTTCCTTGCGCCTGCTGCCTTTATTCCTCTAGCAGTAAGTAGGTACCCTAGAGTTAACAGACTGTTCTGGGTCACATCCTGAGAGACGAAATTAACTTAAGATGCCAAAATGCGTATCCAGGGATCTCTATATAGTATGTTAGTGATGCCAGCTAGGTCTCTATCACTAGTATTATGTACTTGTAGCAATAAATATTATTATTATTATTATTATTATAATGTTGAAGGGTGTTAAATGTATACCTAGGTCAAAGAAAATACGAAAAGTATCGGGAGAAAGTATAATAGTAAGGTTGAAAAGGGTGTTCAGGGAAAGATAAGGTGTTATATTGGAGTCGTATATCCTTATTACATATTTATACCTGTGACGTTGCAGTGAATTCCACAATCCGAATGAGATTTACAGACCTGTATACTGGGCTTAAGAGTGTTACCACAATAACGTTTTCTTTCCAAGGGTGAATCCGAGAACATAAACACTCAAAATATGCTCAGGAAAGTTGGGCATTAATTACAAACACTTTGTTTAAAACTTGGTTCATTACACTAGTGGATGTACGTGTAAAATTGTATATATGAACAAAAACCCAGTGTACTCCCTTCTCAGAAACTTTTAATGTGTTTTGTATTTATAAGTTACAATGCCTAAATGCTTATGTTATACAGTATGCAGATTTTGGAAGAAAAGTTTTGATATAATTGCAATAAATGAGATCACAGGATACAAAACAGCACAGCACCGTTAATGGCCTATCCAAGATAGATACAAAGTTATGAAAATGTAGTCAACACCTTTACAAATGAGAGCGAACATTGAACAATATGTGACCGTCAAACACCTTAAGTTGAACACAAAGATGTCCCAACACTACAGTAAGGACCCAATTTCTATCCTAGGTAGTGTACGTGGGCTTTCACTGTAACAATAAACACACACGAAATCATAATAACACAATTGCAAACAAACCACAGTACTGGTGGAGTTAGAACTCACGGCAGGTGAGTCGTAAAACTCCAGGCCAGTGCGTAAGCAACTGGACCAGCTGGCTACAATAAGATCCATCCAACTACGTGTACTTTTACATCATAAGGAAGTTAGCAACCGGCCCCACTGTGTCCACAAATGCTAGTTTTTACTGATGAATCACCCTCCAGCGTGGCCGTGACAAACACTAGTCATGTGCCCACGGTACGGGTGGGGTTAGAACCCATGGGGAGTGAGTGGTACCATGACAGGAATGTAAGGCAAACATCCACAAGATATATATTTGGACCCTATATAAGATCCTTGAGATGAAACCCTCATGGAAATGTGTATAGATCATATAAGAACTCTTAGATGTGAAGACTGAGAACCAGTCAGCCAGTAAGCCAAATGTTCACAATGAAACAGTGACAAGGTATGACACACAGAAAGGGACGGCCTTCTTCTCTAGATAATTTTCAGAAATTTCTTAGAATTTGGTATATGTGAACGGTAATCACAAAAACATCGTTCATTCACTTATAAAAGTATAGTTAAATGACTCACAAAATTATAATGACCTGATTGCAAACAAACAACTCTACGGTGGGGTTTGAACTCGCGGCGGGTGAGTCGTAAAACTCCAGACCGTCGCGAGTACCGTAGATTATAGTTAAATATCATACAACAGTGAGTAATGACATGGAGGTGCTACAGGTAAGAAGACAATGCCTCCTGCTGGACTTAACTTAGAGAGAAAAGCGTGGGAAGTCTAGAACGCAGTATTTTATCTTTTAAACCTGGCAAGATATCACGTCCACATCTCCCTCAACAAAATAAAATGAGTAAAATAAACTATGGCGATTCTGCACATATACACACACACACACACACACACACACACACACACACACAGACACACACACACACACACACACACACACACACACACACACACACACACCCTTCCCAATCTTCCCACTCTTTCTCCACCCCCCATCACTCTCCCTGTCTCCCTCCCTCCCTCCCTCTCCCCATATCTCTCCCCTTTACAACTCCCCACCCCCAACCTCCATTAACCCTCTACCCCTCTTTCTCCCCACCTCTATCTCTTTTTCACTCCTCTCTCTCTTTTCCTCTGCCCCTCTTTCTCTACACTCTCTCTCTTCCTCTACCCCTCTTCCTCCCCACCCCTCTCTCTTCCTCTACCCCTCTTTCTCTCCACCACTCTCTATTCCTCCCTACCCCTCTCTTCCTGTGTCACACACACACACACACACACACACACACACTTTACCCCCCCCTTCCCACTCTCCATCACTCTGTCCCCCTCCCTCCCTTTTCCTATCTCTCTCCCCCTTACAACTCCTCCATCCCCACACGCACACACACACACACACACACACACACACACACACACGTTCACATATACAACAGGTCTAGTGTCTAATCGGCATGTGCTTAAGACAAAATGGTAATTACACACACACACACACACACACACACACACACACGCGCGCACACACACACATGCACAGAGTGAAGAGGCGGGGCCAGGAGCTGAGTCTCGACCCCTGCAACTACAATTAGGTGAGTATAATTAGGTGAGTACATGCACACACACACTACAACACCTAACCTGTCTAAGTGTCTCTGGGTGACTCTCCCTCTCCCTATACCCCTCTTCCACTCTCTTTCCACCTCTCCATCACACTGTCCCCCTCCTTCTCCACATTACAACTCCCCCCACACACAAACAGCACACACACACACACACACACACACACACACACACACACACACACACACACACACACACACACACACACACACACACACACACACACACACTGCAGCACCTAGCTCATAAAAAATGGCGGCTCAGAGGGGAAGTTGAAGGCTCAGATATCAGAGGACAATGGTTCTGGTAAGGAAGAATGACTGGAAGAGCAGTGTAAAAGATTGGAAGAAGGGTGGGAGAGCAAACTAGGTGAGCTTTTTACAAAAATGGAGAAGAGGATGGAGGCAGAGAAGAAGAAACGGGAGTCACAAGCCAAAGACGCAGAAGCTAGGATATGGGCCCTAGAATATGAGGTACATTAGCTGAAGCAAGTCACAGGGGTATTTCCAGAGGAGACAGCATCTGAAGCAGGTACACCCCTACTCAACAAACAGCCCAACAGAAAGGAAGGAGACATGACTTATGCTAAGGCTCTATCAGTCCACCAAGCAGGGCTGAGGAATGATGGGGGAGAGATGTTGGGGGCAGGGATAACAGTAAGGGAGGGGGAAGAAGGTGGAGAGATATTGGAAGCAGAGTTAGCAGTAAGGGAGGAGGGAGAATGTGGAGAGGGTTATAAGCCCCATGTAGAGGCATGAATATGTCACAGAGAGATAAAGGAAAAAATAAAGGAGACAATGGCCATGTACAAACTGGACCCAGAGACACAGAGGGAACAGCAATGGGGGGAGGAGAAGAAGTCAGTGTTTATTCATGGGCTTCAGGAGAGCAAGGGGAAGACACAATAAAAGATGGCAGGAAAAAAAACAGGAGGTTGAAAACATCATCAGAGAAATAGCTGAGGAGAACATGAATGAGATAGTAAACTTTCAGAGAATTCGGTGGTACTTGAAGGGAAAAAATCGGCCTGTCAAACTGATTTTCAAGACAGAAATTGTGAGGAGCAGGATTTTGCAAGAGAAACCACTGATGAAGGAATCATCTATATGCAAGAGGATGTTCCTAGACCGAGACAGAAGAACAAAACGACAACAGTTGAGAGACAGGACACAGAAACGAAAGGGGCTAGGAAGAGAGATAGAGTCAGCATAGGACAACTGGAGAAGGGCAGAGCAACAAGAGCAAGCACACACTACCAAGCACATTATCCCAACATAAACCATAATCCACACTTACAGCCCCCACCCACACTACGCTGTAGAATCCCACAGCACACTGCCAGGTCCCACACCTTCACAGACCCCCCAGAACACAGTGTTGGAGAGAAAACTAAAGGTATGGTACACCAACATTAATGGAATAATGATTAAGTGGAAGAAGTGGCACGAAAGAGTGAAAGAGGCATCACTGGGCATCATAGCTCTCACAGAAACCAAGCTCACAAGAATGATAACAGATGCCATCTTTCCAACTGGATATCAGATCCTAAGGAAAGACAGATGGAACAGAGGGAGTGGAAGAGAGGCAATGCTTATCATAAACCAATGGGATTTTGATGAACTGGAAAAAGGAGACAGAGGAGAAGCAAGAGACTGCATAATAGG